ATTCTGATTTCATGTCAGTTTAACTTTAAGCCACAGAGAGAGAGGGAACACAAGCAGGGAGGCAGGCAGAGGAAGAAGCAGGCTCCCCGCTGAGCAAGGAGCCTGATGTGGGGCTCGATCCCAGGGACCCAGGGATCATGACCTGAACCGAAGGCCAGGCGTCCCTAAATACAACTTTTAAAGTATTCTGATTTCATGTCAGTTTAACTTTAAGCCACAAAGTAAGAGAAACTTCTAGGAATGTATTCATAGGAAATAATCAGCGATAAAGCACATTTCCAGGTAGAAAAGTGATTATCATAATATTATATGAAACAGCAAAATACTGGCCACAAGAGAAGCTTACACATTCCTCTACCAAGTATTTTCTGAATGAGGCTTTGGGGGTGAAAGTGTCCAAAATCCCTGCCTGTGTCAAGTGTACTTGGAGCAGAAAACCAGGTATATTAAGTAAATATACAGTATGTTGAAATGTGCTAAGAGTTTAAAAAAGGAATAAAGCAGAGAAGAAGATGTGAGGAATTTGGGTGGGAGTCTTCGAAGCTATAGATAGAAGGATCGGGAAAATGAGAAGGCAATTCTTGAGGAAGCAAACTGAGTGATGGAGGAGGATGGAAAATGTCAGAGGTCCAAAGGACCAGTTCAGGAAGGGCCCTGTCAGCACACGAAGGACGTGGCCTTCATTCCCGGAAGCCATTGGAGGGTTCTGAGCAGAGAGGAACACGGCAGTTAGGACAGACCCCGCCTGGCTGCAGCCCTGGGATGCGACTGCAGGGAGCATATGTAGCAGCAGGAAGTCACGGAAACAGAGTTGAGGGGCCAACAGGAAGATAATAAGCACCAAGGCAGCGACGGAGGCAGTGGGCATAATGATAACCGTCAGGTTGCAAGTACAATATGAAAACAGCACTGACAGGATTTGCAATGAGGCAAACACGGGCGGAAGGGAAAGAGAGGAGACAAGAATGACGCAGAGGTTTCTGGCCTGACATCTGACAGCACGAAACTGCCACGGTCTGAGACAGAGACAACTGTGGGAGCTGCCAGTTTCGGGGGGGGAACCTCAGATTTCAGATGTGAATGTATTAGGTCTGAATTACCTATTCGACATTCAAGAGGAGGAATCAAGTCGGATGCACAGGCCTGGAGCTCAGAGGAGAGGTCTGAGCTGGAAAGGCGAATTTGGGAGAAGCCTGCCCATGGCTAGTTCCTACAGATGAGAACAGGCATTGTTCCTCAGGAGAACGTGTCCAGACAGACAATAAAAGAGAGCCAAGAACACCATCCTGAGGCACGCTGACAGTTGTAGGTCCGGGAGAGGAGGAGGAACCAGCAGTGAAAACTGAGAAGTCAGGAAGGTGGTAGGAAAGCTAGATGAGTGCTACAAGCAAAGGGGAAAAAAAGGGTCCCACGGGAGAGCAAGGGATGAGCTACTTCAAGGGTCGGCAGCCCCGTTTTTGTAAACAGTTTTATTGGAACACGACCCTGCCATTCATTTACATACTGTCCGAGGCTGCTTTAGTTCTAGAAGGCAGAGGGGCGCAGCCGCAGCAGAGCCCTTAGGGCCCGCAAAGCCTAAAACATTTACTACCTAGCCGTTTACGGTGAAAGTCTGCCAACCCCTGAGCTACTTCAAATGCCAATGATAGTCAAAAAAGACTGAGGACTGGACAGTGCGTCTGGTAATGTGGCGATCGCTGGTAACTTGCTTACAAGTAGCGTGGGTGGGACAACTGGCACCTGGTTCATATATTTATGAGCTGGCTGTCATATTTATGAGACACAGAGGTCAGAAACAAACAAAACTGTTTGTCAGCATTTTAAGAAGCCATCCAATCAAGTGAGAAAAAGACAGCCTCTCACATTGCACCAGGGCTGCCAAACATCCCCTCTCTCTTCAAAACATGGCTCCAAAATCACCTCCTTGGGAAAGATGCCCTGCCCTTCCCTCACAGGCAGCTAGAAGCTCAGGCTATGAGCTCCCTGAGAGCAGGGACTGGGGCTTAGCCATCTGTTTCTCCAGGGACTGGCACCAAGTGGATACCAAACAAACCAGGTACAGCACCAGCAACTGCCGTGCTTGCCCCAAGGAGGACCTTTCGGCTCCATCAGCGTCCCTCTGAGAAAAGTGACACAGTGAGGGGCTGCATCACTTCGCCAGGGAAGAACGAACACTGAATGAGATGAAGAGGAAGCAGGCAGGGAGGCCCGGGGCTACCTGTGTAGCCCATCACTCACCAGAATGTGAGGAAATGGGAACCAGCTCCCAGGACAGGTCTCTTAAACTGAAAACTTTTAAAAGAAAATAAACATTATTAAGTCCTGAAAAGCAAGACTGCATTTCAGAGAGGAGAGTGGAAATGCCAACTCACCTGAGACATGGCTTTCAGTTCGGTTCTTGTCCCTGCGGCCTCCGGCTTATGCCTCCTCTCCTGGAGAAGGGCAATGCCCCTGGAAGGAAGAGCTGCGGGGAAGAGAAAGGAGTCGCTGGAGACCAAATCTACACGATGCTCCTAATCACCAGGCTGGAAACGGTCCCTTCCTGCTGACTCTTAAACTACAGCCATTAAATCAGAAAGGGCATCAACAGGTGGAGACTCAAATGCTCTGGCACGAACGGATGGATGGGACCAATTTTGAAGGGACTGATCTGTATACGACTGTCACTCTACCTAGGGAGGGGTTTCCTCTGTCTGGGAGCATGAATTAGGATGGTGTGGGGTCAGGCTGACCCTGGCAAGTCACGGTCCCTCCCTGCACAGCTGCTTGATGCTCGGATTCAGAGGGAACTTCCAAACCTTTGGATTCCTGAGATCTACCAGCCTCAGAGCCTAGGGACAACCATTCACCAGCACAGGAGCCCGAGAGGCCCTTTGCCCCAGGATCCCACGCTCCCCGCACTCTGAAGGGGCGAATTCGTCCCCGTCCACCAGGCCCGACCATCTGTCACCCTCACCTCGGTTCTCCGGCCCCGTGGTCACCGCTCCTCGCTGACCCCTGGATGGAGGGCCATTCCTTGCGCGCGGCCTTCCCCGGGCAGGGCGGGCGAAGGCAGCCGGGGTCCCCGCAGTCCGGCCTCGG